AGTGCCATGCTTACAAACAACCAATTTATTTCAACTCCATTCCCATGTTTTCCACCTTTGGTTTGGATGCTGGGTACAGAATTTCCATCAACACTACTGCAGTTATCTGCTAGTGGAAGGCTGCCAAGCTGTTTGTTTCCATCATAGCTAGATGCATTCAAAAGCTGTAACTGAGTACCTGAAGGAATTCTCCCCACCAATTGGTTATTGGACAGGTTTAGGTAACTCAGAAAAGTCAAGCTCGACGTGCCTTCTGGAATTGAACTAGACATTGTTTACTGAGAAATTAATTGATTCTAACATTCTCATGTTACCTATACTTTTTGGGATCCTTCCAATAAAATGATTGCGTGATAAATTCAATGATTGCAACCCTTGCTGCTTAGTTATTTCCTGAGGGATCTCCCCTTATAAACTGTTGCTTGAAAAATCCATGATTCTCACCAAGTAAAGCGTCTTGTCATACTTAAGCTTTTGGCCTTTTATCACAACATCTGCGTTCTCGACATAATTTACACCCTCCAAAAGATATCCATTACCGTATTCAATTGGATACACACGATCGTAGCCAAAGTCTAACTCCTGAGAATGGTCATCCATTGAGAGCAAGACATGGGATATTGATCACGAAACAACGAAAACCTTCCCATTCTACACAACTAGCATTTGTAGAATATATTGAAAAAGGAATGAAAAGAAATTCATGTAGGCATGTGGAATGGGGTGTGGAAAAAACATGTTTAGGTCCCATCGGAGCTGCCGGGGCAGGTCATGGTCGGCGTGTCCAATGGGTTATGGAAATATAGCATGGAAGACGTTGACCCAAAGGAAATTGAAGATATTCCGTATGAAATGGGGCATGGAAAAATCGTGCTTGGGGTCATGTCCGAGCTGTTGGGAAAATGTAAGTATTTTACACGGATGTACAAGATCATCACTTTTGTTTACTATTTTAAAATTTAAACTAATTGCAGAGAATAGAAGATAAGAACATCATACTACTTGAAACAATCTAGGAAGATGAGATCATCCTTGGAATTTTGCTATACGTACGACCAGTGAAATTACTAGTCTCCTAATATCACCGATTTCTGATAAGCTTCAAAGACAAGGGCAATCAGCAAAAACCAATCTTCTAAGTTTCAAATCAACATAGATATGACTGTTCACATACTGAGCATGCCGCAAGGACTTGGCCTAATACAGAACTAGCTAATCTCTTATTTCACCTGCATATTATTTTGGCTCCGAAATTCTACAGTAACTTTAGCATCTTTCAAGAACAATAATATGCATTATCATCGAGATTAGAACAGATGTCTCATTAATTACTCTCCTATATATATTTCCATAACCCATTGGATACGCTCCTACCATCAATTACTCGGACAGCTCCGATGGGACCTAAACATGTTTTTTCCACACCCCATTCCACACGACCAATGAATTTCTTTGTTCCTTTGCCCAACATCTTCCACGGACTCTATAGTTGATGTAAAAGGGGCTGGTTTTCGTTGTTTTGAGGTCATGAAATTAGTGAATGGTGACGGTCTTCACCAAGGATTTGTAATAGCAATCTCTTTTGGACCTGCAAAATTATTCAATTTGATTTGTTGCAGTAACAAGAACAAAAGCATATGCAAGCAATTGATGATTGATCAATAATTAACTTTGGCGAGCGAAACCACAACATCTATTCCATTGATGAAATGGGAAACTTAATTCAACTTAGAGGAAATGATATGGTACTCAATAAATTCAAGACTAATACGGTTATAAAAGTAACACATTAAACTTTAGAACATTTGTTACAGAATTACTAATTTTCCACCACATTTCCTCAAGGGATTGATAATACATGCATCGTCATTGCCTGCTAATCATCAGAGGACTTAGTACACTCCAAAATCCTATAATAAATCCAAGTGTCATGCTCACAAATAACCAATTTATGTCATCTCCATTCCCATCTTTTCCATCTCTATTTTGGATGCTAGGCATAGAATTCCATTAACACTGCAGTTATCTCGCAATGGAAGGCCGCAAAATTTGTTTCTAGCATAGCTAGATGCATTGAAGCTATGCAATTGACTACTTGGAAGGAATTCGCCCAGTTAATTGGTTATTGGACAAGTGCAAGTAACTCAAAAATGTCAAACATGACATGCATCCCGAAATTGAAACCAGATAATTTGTTTCTTGAGAAATCAACTAATTTTAACATTCTCATATTGTTGATATTTTCTGGGATCCTTCCAGTGAAAAGATTGTTTCATAAATTTATTGATTGCAATACTTGAAGATTAATTATTTCTAAAGAAATGTCCTTAATAAATTGTTACTTGAAAAATTCATGATTTTTACCGAGTGAAGTATCTTCTCATATTCAAGCAGCAACTGACCTTTCATCAAAACAACTGCATTCTCGAGGGAAGCTACACCTAAAATGTCGTTAATGGGAAAGAGGGAGCCACATTCGAATACACCTTCCATCAATTTTCCCAACAGCTTGGATGATCGGACCCAAAACATGCTTTTTTCCACCTCCGGTCATTTCATAATGTCAGCATCAGTTACTTTCTTCATTTTCTAGGTCCAAAGTCGCTACTTTATATTTCCACAGCCCATTGTACAAGTTTATCATTAATTTCCTCAACAACTTGAATGGGACCTAAACATGCTTTCTACATGCCCTATTCCACACGCTGGCGCCTGCGTAATTTTCTTCAATTTCATAGACATGCTATTAATTCCACACTGATCCGGTACGAGTAGAATGGGGGATGTCTTCATTTGTTTTGAGGTGCACGCCCTATGCCATGTAGTTATTAAAAAAAGTTAAAAAAAAATAACAGTGTATACAAGCAAGTTAATATTTATTGTGTTTAAAAAGTTGATTTAGAAGTTAAGACTTTTACAGCTCCAAGTACTGAATACTGATTGGAGAGAATAGAAGATATGTAAGAACATTATATTACTTCAAACAATCTAGGTAGATGAGATCATCCTTGGAATTATGCTAAACTTAGAACAAGGGGAATTACTAGTCTCCTAATATCGTAAATTGCATATAAGCTTTACAGTGTCAACACAAAGGGAAACAGCAAAAACAAGTTCCAATCAACACAGATGTGATTGATCACATACTGAGCTAATTAATCTCTTATTTTACTTGCATGTTATTTTAGCTCCAAGATTCTACAGTAATCTTAGCATGCATCTTTCAAGAACAATAAATATGCATTGTCATCAGGATCAGAAAGTGACCTAAACATGCTTTTTCCATAACCCATTGGATACGCGCCTACCGTTAATTTCCCCAGCAGCTCCGATATGGCCTAAACATGCTTTTTCCATACCCCATTCCACACGCCTACATGAATTTTTTTCGTGCAATGTGTAGTCTTTTGCATTTGCCTATGGTTGCCAATAACTTCAACATTCTAATAATAATCTCCTTTAATTAGAAATAAAGAATTCTGAAACCTAATCATGTGCATACTAACTGGTTGAATTAATAATATGCTTAGCTTGAGAGAAATACGGGAAAAAAGAGGGAAACAGGAGGAATTAAAAGTAAAAAATCAAGTAAATAACTTCCCCTTCTCGTCTCTCATCAAACTAAACACAACCTAAACTAATTAAAGAAGATTACTTCTGCTTGTATAACCGAAGGAGGAAAAATATGTCGAATATGGTAAAAAATTAATGAAGCAGATGTTTGGTCAAATGCCAATTTGTGGATTAAGGGTATTACCATTCCAGCATTTGCTTCAACCAAAGTCTAAACTAGGCAAAAGAAGCTTAAAAGTGCTCTACTCCCCAACATGAAGGCAAATTTAGGGTCTGTGAAGTGAAAAAAAAAAGAAGGAAATGTCTGCCATATATGGAATAAATTCTTGTATTTTTGAAATTACCCCAACATGAAAGGGTTACGTTCAAAACTCTAAGATCCAATCATGATAAAGTTAAAAATGCTGATCCCATAAATCCATAGTTTATAGCACAGTGTTCAACAGAACCCCAGGCTTTGGCGTCTCCTGAACTTCCTACAGTGCTGGAGTTGGCGCTGTCACGTACAGATTAAGTACCAACTGTTTGCTACAGGCTACTGGTATAATAGTGTAGTGGACAAATGAATTTGGAGTCTTGAAAACAACACAAGGGTGAGATGGTAAACAGTTGATAGAAAACAAGAAAAAAAATTGTTAAAAATGGGCTTTGAATAAGACTAGTACCTTTAGCAGAAGGTTCTTCTTTGAGATTTCATTGCTGGGAATAGCAGAACCTCCTGCACAACAATAGCATAAACAGTAAGTGAAATATTGGTTGTGCCAAGAGAAAAACAAAGAAATCTTGTATCTGCTTGTGCACAGCTATGGATGCACATGCACTCAGTTTCACACAAACATAGGCAAGAGAGACAGAGAACCTTGATATTTTGTGAATCTGTCAACAACATTGTTAGTCGTTCAATACTCAAGCCCCAACCAGCAGTGGGAGGCAACCCATACTCAAGGGAAGTACAGAATGTTTCGTTCAGAGCCATGGCTTCATCATCACCTGATTGTCGATCCTGAGACATCCAAAACACCTCTTTTAGCCGATTCTATATTGATATATTTAATTGTATCACTACCAAACACTTGAAACTAATTTCCAGTACCTTCAGTTGCTCAGCAAAGCATTGACATTGGACAACGGGATCATTCAATTCAGTGTATGCATTGCAGAGCTGGCCGATTAGGAGACAATTAAGCCAAACGTCAGTTCACCACAAGTCAAAAAAAGGGTGGAAGAAAACAATAATCCTAGAGTTGAATAAGCATACTTCATGCTTGCTAACAAACAATTCAAAACGTTCAGTTAGCCCTGGCTTTGATCTGTGTCACTTTGCTAGAGGACTCATTATTTCAGGATGGTTGATGATGAAAGGGGGATTTACACAAATCTGCTCCAGAAAATGACCCACAAGCTGCCAGTCACAAATAAGAAGGTGAATAAATCTTAAATGACTAAGGTAAAACATTTGGCTGCATAAGTTTTCAACAGAAATGAATATCTATCTAATTGCTCAAAATAAAATTCCTTATACAACTACTTCCACAGTATATCTAAAACAGAACAACATGATTCATTAGTTATGTGAGCTCCCAACCATCAGAGAACCCAAATTACATCCACTCTCCCTGTTTTCCCCAGTCCATAAAACAGTTGCCAGTCTTTTGCTTTTGCTGATGTCTTAGGCCCTTGTCTATAAGTTAGACTCACATCATACTCACTGATCTAGAAACTCAAATACTCAAACCACAGGCCTCCCTCAGTGAGACATTACATGCCACATACTTATAGATCATCTAAGCTTAACATCAGAAGAAAAGACGAGAGCCAGCATCTCAACAATTTCACAAGGAAATCAGAAAGAGAGAAGATTTACTTTGTCTAGTAAACGTGCTGTGGTTTGAGGAGGGGGACACTTGATGTCAAACCTCAAACATGCATCTGCCAAATACTTGTTTGTTTCATCACTAGAAAAGTCCTTAGGTATATTGAGGTTAGCCATCTTCTCCAACTCCTCTATCATGTCAATCCTCCTGGACAATTAGGCAGTAAATTTATTTCACATTTACTCTCTGATTAATGAAATTGATCATGCATTGTAAGAGAATATTATCCACAAACCTAAAGGGGGAGTGAAATCAATCTCAATTGGCTCCTTATCAAGCCCGTTTGTATGATATTTGATTTTATAGCCACCAGTAAGTTCCCTGACCTTCCCTGTTGCATAATAACTGAGTCAGAAAAAGTCCAAGCAACTCAAAAGGTCAGCTGCAATAATGGAAGTGTGTATCTTGCAAAACTGAAACATGTTTGATACCTACCACTTAACATTTTCTCAGTGAGTTCCATCAGGTCATTATAGTCCGCAAAAGCCATGTAGAATTCACAGGTTGTAAACTCAGGATTGTGAGTTAAATCAATACCCTCATTTCTAAGTTGTTTTCCTATTTCATAAACGTGATCCAGTCCACCAACTACTAACTCCTTGAGATAGAGTTTAGGTGCAATACGCATGTACAGCCTCATATTCAATTTGTTGTGATGTGTCACAAATGGGTGCGCAGCTGCTCCACCAGCAATCATGTTCATCATGGGTTTTTCTACCTGAGAATATTACTCTGCATAAATGACACCAAAAAATAGCAAAATAGCTGTAAAAAAAGAAATAATCTAATGATAAAATAGATTAACTACCTCTAGAAAACCAAGGTTGTCAAGAAAGCTTCTAATATGGGAAATGATCCTAGCTCTGGTCTTGAATATTTGACGAACCTCCAAATTTAACATCAAATCAAGATGACATTGGCGATATCGTGTTTCCTAGCATGAAGAAGACATAAAGCTTACAAAAGTGACATGACACAAGCAAACATCTTCACGCAGGTATAAGTAGATGGAAATAGAATTCTGCATTGACAGAAGAATTCTCATCTTCAGGCCTTGAACTAATACCTGATATTTTAAAACATATGCTTCAGGGTTCCTCGTCATTCCTGGGATTCAGATTTCAGTTTTCTGCAAGGGAGTAGGTATGAATCAATGCATTGAGAGAAGTTCATAATAATTAGGCAGTCATAACAAACTTTCATTACCTTCATATTGGCATCAGGACCTGCTTTTTGCCTTGACATCATGTGAAGACAATGAGACAATACAATGAATGATTTCGGGAAGATGCTCAGCTCCCCTCTCTTAGTTTTCCCTGAGAAAAGCACATGACAGAACTTAAGTGAAATAAGAAAATAATTTAGCAGAACAATGGAAATAGATTCTAGGACATTGTTCAAACTGGGATGAAAGACAATCCACCAAAGAAAATGGACAAGAAAGGAAGCTCTTTTCAGATCCTACATTGGGCAAACAAATTTTGGTTTTAAAAGGAACACAATTTTTATAGTATAAGTCATTTATGTCATATTTCGTCTAACATATCAAGGATAAAATATCTTAAATGAACAGGGAAAAGATAGAAGAAAACTGACAAACAATCATAACATTCCCAACCTGGAAATCCAGTGATGCCATCTATATCACCACGCTTCACAGCAGAATGGAATTTGGAAAATTCAGCTTC